AAAGAATCCATATCAGCAGCTTCGGAAACAATGGAAGTGGCAGGGAACGAAGCCCTCTGACCAGCTTTCCAGGGCAGTCTTGTGGCTTTGGGGCACTTAGGGGCCAGCACCCACCTGCTCAAGGGCCTCCCAGCCCATGACGGGAAAAGGCAAGGGACGCTCCAGCTGGCTCACCCACCAGCCCTTTTTGGAGCCCTCCATTCGGGCCAACAGCCCAGCCGCTTCCGGCTCATGATCAGAAATAGCTGTGACAAAAGTCCCGCCTATCCCTGAAAGTGGCTTTTTAAAAAATGCTTAAAGGCAGACACATAAAAAGGTGGAGAGAATTCTGCCAAGCCCCAGTGGAAGGCAAATGATGCGGGCATCACCTCAGCGCAGGGAAGAAAGCTCTCAATGGCAGACAGAAGTTCTGCCTGGCTCGGCTTTGTGGGTCAGCTCCCTCTGGGCCTCAGTTTCCCCAACTCTAAAATGAAAGTATTTAGCTGAATCAGCGATTTCTTTCTTTCTTTTCTTCTAAACTGTAAAACCCTGGTTTCCAATCGAATCTCCCTCCGAATATTAATCTGAGAATCATGAAAGTGGAGCTGCTGTGTTTGATGTTGGCCAAAGCCCCCTGGACTGTTCCCAGAATCACCCAAGACACCCTCTTCTAGACTCCAGGGCTCCAAAGAGTCCACTTGCAAACCACTAGGCTAAATGATCACTGTGGTCACCCTGGCTCTCAAACAAAGCTCCAGGGGAAACAAACCAAGACTTTCAGGCTGACTGGAGTCAGGAGCACAGACACTCAGCAACTTGCAAGGGGAGGCAACAAAACCAGCTGGTTCCAAACCACACGGGGCCTGAGGCAGGAGAGGGGGAGGCCCGGAACAGAGAAAGGCCACACTGTCATCTCAGGAGGCAGAAAGAGCAGCCCTGAACTGGGCCCCTCCAAATCACAGACCGAAATGTAGAGCAAGCTGGCAGGGATCACCTAAAGGAAGCCTGTTGTGTATAGGTAGGGGACCTAAGGCTCAGAGAGGGCAGGAATTGGCCTGAGGTCATGCAGCGCCTAATGGTAGAGCCAGACCTGGAGTCTGGGTCTCTAGGATGCCCATTTAGAGAACTCTCTGCCTGTCTAAAGTTTATCGAGTTTCAGTAGGAATCTCCCAGGGAAAGGCCCCCCAGCTTGCAAACTCAGAACAGGATATTTTGGTGGCACTGCATGGTGACAGGGCAGAGATGTTTGTTTTGGTTTTCAAATCAATGCTTGACAACCTTGTCGGCTACAGTTTCAGTGACCACATTTCCCTCATGGTAAAGAGCTCAGAGCTGATTAGACCAAAAGGAAACCAAAGCAGGAGTGATCGGGGCCAGGGCCCAGTCACCTCAGGCCAGGGGCTCTGGTTTGGGTTGGTATTTCCAAAGCACGGATCCTGTAGCACTGACAGCACACAAGATGATGGGACGTAGCACACAAGTGACTTTTTAAATTTACATTTTATTGACTATGTATGTGAATGGATACACAAAATGTGGTCTACCCATACAGTGGAATATTATTCAGCATTATAAAGGAATGTACTGCTGATATAAGCTATAGCATGGATGGACTGCACAAGCATCATCCAAGTGAAAGAAGCCAGACACAAAAGACTACATACTGTATGACTCCATTTATATGAAATGCCCAGGAAAGGCAAATCTATAGAAATAGAAAGCATATCAGTGGTGCCTGGTCTGGGGTGGGAACAGGGATTCACTGCAAAAGGGCAGAAAGGATCTTTTTGAGATGATGCAAGTGTTCTAAAACTGGATTGTGCTAATAGTTGCACAACTCAGTGGACTGGCTAAAAATCATTGAATTGTACACGTAAAATGGGAGAATTTTATGATATGTAAATTATACCCCATAAGGCTATATGAAATATGTTACATAAGTAATAATATGGATGGTGGGACATGAATATGGCCACAGTTCATGGAGGTGGAACCCCAAAAGTCCCCAGCTTGGAGAACACTGAGCTATACAACCCAGGTTGCCCTTTGGAGATGCAGAATGAACATCTCCAAGGCTGCGAGTTCCTCCAGGTGGACCAGAGGAAACCCTGGAACCTCTCCTTTCCCGGCACAGGCTCCTTCTGTTGGCCACCGCTTGGGGTTCCATGCTAGACATCCTGGAACGATCTGAAGCCTTCAGTGGCCAAGAGCCCAGGTAAACACCTTGGTCTCATTCTCTTATGAACAGGAGATCAGAAGTGCGCAGGGAGTTCAAACTCAGATTTACATATTGTCAAGGCTGGGAAGACCCTTTGAGATCATCTAACCCAGTGGTTTTTAGGCTTTTCAAAAAGCTGATCATATGCCTGCCCTCTTCCCAAAAGAAAATTCTTATGATAAACCCAAATACAGAAACAAGTAAAAACAGAATGTTACTTGTATAAATTTATATTGTAGGCTCAATGATATAACAGCTACTTATTCTAAATTCAATCCATGAGGTTGATGAGGCTATTTTGATCCATTAACATTTAGAACTGGGATTATGGATGACAGGTCCACCTTCGCTTTAATTCTATCTCTGGTTTTGGCTACAGAGTATTAAGAAAATCCTGACTCACACAGATTAGTAGCTACAAACGGGACCAGCTTTAAGCAGTTTGCTTTGTAATCTCAGAGTACTCTTCTGACAAAGAGAAGGCAGGGGAAGGCTCTAACTTGAGGCCAAGTACTAACAAATCAATGTTAAGTAGACTTCCGTGAGTTAACAGTAAGAACTCAAAAGTGACTGAGCACACTTTTATGACCATTTCAACATTTTTAAAATATTAACTTTTATTTAATATTCAAGGAACTGCCTAAGGTATCTCTGAGGCAGCTGGGGGCTTCAAGGACAGTTCTAGACCACCCTCCTCTCACTTTTACAGATAGGGAAACTGAGGCTCAAAGAAGGGAGTAAACTTGCTTTGAAAAAATCCAACTTGAGCTCTGAATCAACTCCAGAAAAGATGCGTCTCCCCAGTTTAAAAAAAAAAAAAAAAAAAATGGGGAAAGAGAAGGTACACACTCACCCCAGAAGGGCGGGAAGAGAGACACCCACACTCCACCTGTCTCAGCAGCACCCATGTCATTCCAGGCCAGTGCCAGAAGCTGACATCACACCCCACACCCTGGGTGCAACTTGAACAGGGCATTGCTCAATGCCGACCCATCTCCCTCTAAGATTGGGCACAGTTTTTTCATCTCCTTAGTAGCCAGGTCCAAAAAGCACACACACAATAAAACAAACAGCGCAAGCCTGGGGCATGACGACACAATCAACAGTGGCAGACAGAAGGGCCCATCCCTCCAAGTTTCACCACGGAGAGCAAGTGCCTGTTTCTCTGCCCCACCCCAAGGAAGCTGCCCACTAGGGGCAGAGAGGTGGACCCCCCATGGCGAGGCACCAGGCCACTCTCAAGTCCTCAGGAGAAACAACCAGCCCAGAAGAGTAGCTTGCTCCCCGCCGGGTCCAAGACCTACCCCCAGGAAGCCAGGCCCTGCATGAGAGACCTGAGACTCCAGGCAACTGCTCCCTGACAGCTTGACAAAGCCGATCATCTTTAATAATGTCAAGTTGATTACTGTATACCTTCCAAAAAGCATCACCAGCCTACTCACCCCTTGTGCAACTGTGGATGGATTTTATTATTCCCATTTCTCTGATAAGTAAACAGGCTTCCGAGTGGTTCAGTGACCACTTGGTTCAGCCAGTGGTTCTCACAGGCAGGTAATGGAGCTGGCACTTGAATCCCACCCAGTGGCCAGCCTGCCAGTAGAGGAAAAGGAAGGAGACCCATGCCCAGCTCTCTGTGCTCACGTGAGCACTAGGACTCGAGGAATGGAGGAAAGATGCTTCTCAGTGCATCCTCCAAGCCCTGAAGTTCAGAGCCACAGCTCCCAATGCAGAGTTGCCCATGCCTGGGACAGCAGAGGGCCCTGCCCCTATCCAGGCCTGAGATGCTACAGACAGACCCCTCTACTCTTATCAGAAGGCCGATTTGACAATACTGTCAGCCAGGTTGCAGGCAGGAAGCAATGTCAGTTTCCCAGCTAGGGAATCTGGGCTGGGCAGGAAGGTGCTAGCCGATTCAGCAGGCAGTCTGTGCCATACTCCAGCCAGAGACAATGGTCTGGGTCCATTCGGTGCCCAGTCTTCCAGCCTAAGGTTATCTCCTTCTGTGGGCCTTTAGGGCTGAGTTTGCTGGGGTCCAAAAAACCATGAGAATTGGCGGTGGGGAGAAGAGAGGTGGAGGTAGCTGTTTCTAAAAGCTCGTGGCCAGTCTGATGTAGGTCTGGTTATCCAGCCCAGCCAGCTGGACCTTACAGAGCTGGAGCAAGACAGCAGACCCTGGCATCAGTGGACAGATCCAACCATTCTTAAACACATGACTTTTAAACACATGACTTTTTAATTCAAGGAACAAGAAGCCAGTGGATTACTTAAGAGTTATTTCTTTTCATCCATTGACAGAGGAGAGCCCACCTCCTACATCCTTGGGAAAATACCTAAGCTGGAAGACAGACAAGCCAGGTGGTTCACATCCTGGCTTCACCACCTATTAGCTTCACCACCTATTAGCCAAGCCATCTTAGGCAAGTCACTTGCATCTCTGTGCCTCGGTTCTCTCATCTACAAAATGAGGATAAGAATGCCCCACACTTTGCGTTGCCATGAGGAATAGATGAGATCACGGAAAACACCAATGGTCACTATGTCACTTAGAAAACAATGTGCCTGGTCCAGTGACGGAGCGGAGGTGTCCCCCACCATAGTTACCGCCTGCTCCCATTCTTGGAACTAGATAACTGCGTTTTCCAAGCGTGTGTAGGGCGTTCTGCAAATACAGCTTCCAGCCCACCTGCCAGGACCAGCTGCCGCCCCCGGCCCCTCCCGAACGCACACATTCCTTGGCCGCGGAGACAGGGAAGACCCCCCCCCCCGGCCGGGAGTGCGGGGGCAGGAGCGGGGCCCCACTCACCTCCGCTTGTACTCGTCGCGCTCGCGCTTCACCTTGGCCAGCACATTGTAGAGCGCACGGATCTCGGGCGTGATGGTGTCGATCTGCACACCCACGCCGTCGGGGTGCACCCACGACACGCCGGGGCCCTGCACGGTCTCCACGCCGCCGCCGCCCGTGCGCCGCACCTGCGTGTAGCTCCAGATGGTCCCGGGCAGGCGGCCGTAGTGCTGCGGCTGCGAGCCGCCGCCGGGGGGCAGGCCGCCCAGGGCCGCGGCGTTGGCGTTGGCTCCGGCCGCCGCGCCGCTGCCGTGCCCGCCGCCGGGCGCGGGTGGCTGCAGCAGCTCGGGCCCGGTCTGCACGGCCTGCTCGCGGGAGAAGGTCTTGTAGCGCAGCCTCCGCTCGCGCTCGCTCTGCTGCTGCTCCAGCTGCTTCTCCAGCAGCCGGTTGCGCCGCTCCAGCTCGTGCACTTTGGCCAGGAAGCAGCGGAAGCGCACGTTGAGCCCCTTCAGTAGGTGAATGTTAGAGCCCAGGTCGTCCCGCAGCGCCGCCGTCACCGGCGATGGCCCTGGCCCGGCCCCGCCGCCGCCACCCGCGCCGGGGCAGGTCCCCCCGGCGCCGCTCGGCGGGCAGCCGAAGGCCAAGGCCATCTCCCCGAATATCAGCGAGTTCACCATGCGCCGGCTACGCGGCTCAGGGACCCGGGCCCGCGGCTCCAAGTGCGGCTCCAGCTCCGGGCAGGGCTCCCGGCGCGGCCGGGCCAGGGAGGGCGCAGGATCCAGCGCGACCTGCCGGGCGATTCCAGATGCGCGCCAGATGCGGCCTCCGCAGAGACGGCGAGCCGGACCGCCCCCGGATGTGGGCGCTGAGGCGAGGGACTGGGCTCGGGTCGCGGTGGAGGCCGCGGCGGCTTGCGCGAGGTATCGAGGATCGCTGGTCCCGGCGCCGGTGCTGTCAGAGACGCTGTGGAGGCTCCGCGGTATTAGCGCGCAGAAGACTCTCAGCCTGCACTGCCCCTCTGCGGCGGGCCCCGCCCACTGCAGACACAGGCCCAGCTCCCAAGCTCGCCCCGCCCACCCCGCCCTCCTCTGCGGCGCTCCCAAAGCTGGAGGCAGGGTCCCCGAGGCCCGCAGCGCCGGGCCCCGCCCACGGCCCCGTGGATCCTCCCATTCCCGGGCTCCACCGTTTTCTCGGCTCCGTGGACTTGCTGTCTGCAGCTTTGGCTCCGCCCAGCTCCGGGCTGGACCACTCCCTCCCCTGCGCCGGGTCCAGCCCTCCAGCCCGGCTCGGATTCTTTGCCCGGGGACACAGACCGCAGAGCTGCACCAGGCACGCGGTTAGGTGGAACCGCCGCAGAGGCAGCCCGGCCTCTTAAAGGGACAAGCAGCCTCGGCAGCGCTCGTTTCCCCCTTTAGGAAGTCCCCTCCCCCACGTCCTCTGTCAAGGAGACCCCGCTTCTCTTCCACCCCACCCCAACTCCCCGGCCCCAGATTACCACGAGGTGAGGGAGACCTCGGCCTGGAAGAACCGGGGGACCAGAGCCTCCGAAGGTGCATCCGCACCCCACCCCCACTCCAGCCTGGGGAGGCCTAGTTCGACCTTCCCAGGATAAGGCAGCGTTTCCAGCGGCAGGTCCCCCACGCGGTGGACCCGGGAGCGCTCCTCTACCGCTTGCCCCCGCCTCTAACTGCGGGCCTCGTCGTCCAGAGATTGGCCTGGGCAATGCCGAGCCCGCTGGTCCTCGGGTCCAAAGATGCGCCGCACGGATGGTGGGGACAGGAGTGGGGAGGCTGAGCGAAGACCCTCCCGGAATGTGACACCCGCAAGCTCAGCCTGGGCTGCTGCCGCGCCCCCGCCCTGAATGACCACCTCCCCACCACAGCACACTCATATGCTGAGATGCAGCTGACCCCAGAGCGGGCCATCGAACTGCTTGGGGGGCAGCTTGAGGGCAGAACAGGTATCGAGGGCGGAGCCCACCAGAGGACGCATTCATTCATTCATTCATTCACTCATTCATTCAAATATGTTTTCATATTTACCACCGTAAAGACGAAGTTCTCCAGTCTCCTGGTGTCTCTTAAACCAGTTTGCAAACATCTATGGTAATTTTTTGAACGCTAATAGTAGTTCCCATTATTGAGTGCTAAGTATATGTCAGGTGCCATAGTTGTTATCCCGATTTTACAGAGGTCGCTGAGACCAGAGGAACAGCGATCCATCCCCAAACACATGCTCTAACCCGCCTATCGATGCTGCTGGGCTCTTGTCCATTTCCCCGTTGGATCCTCACCACAAACCTCAGAGGACCATCATCAAAAACTCTAGAAACAATAAATGCTGGAGAGGGTGTGGAAATAAAGGGAACCCTCTTGCAGTGTTGGTGGGAATGTAAATTGATACAGCCACTATGGAGAACAGTATGGAGGTTCCTTAAAAAACTAAAAATAGAACTACCATATGACCCAGCAATCCTACTACTGGGCATATACCCTGAGAAAACCATAATTCAAAAAGAGTCATGTACCAAAATGTTCATTGCAGCTCTATTTACAATAGCCAGGACATGGAAGCAACCTAAGTGTCCATCATCGGATGAATGGATAAAGAAGATGTGGCACATATATACAATGGAATATTACTCAGCCATAAAAAGAAACGAAATTGAGCTATTTGTAGTGAGGTGGATGGACCTAGAGTTAGTCATACAGCGTTAAGTAAGTCAGAAAGAGAAAAACAGGGCTTCCCTGGTGGCGCAGTGGTTGAGAGTCCGCCTGCCGATGCAGGGGACACGGGTTCGTGCCCCGGTCTGGGAAGATCCCACATGCCGCGGAGCGGCTGGGCCCGTGAGCCATGGCCGCTGAGCCTGCGCGTCCGGAGCCTGTGCTCCGCAACGGGAGAGGCCACAACAGTGAGAGGCCCGCGTACCGCAAAAAAAAAAAAAAAAAAAAAAAAAAAAAAGAAAGAGAAAAACAAATACCGTATGCTAACACATATATATGGAATCTAAGAGAAAAAAAAAAGGTCATAAAGAACCTAGGGGTAAGACGGGAATAAAGACACAGACCTACTAAAGCATGGACTTGAGGATATGGGGAGGAGGAAGGGTAAGCTGTGACAAAATGAGAGAGTGGCGTGGACATATATACACTACCAAATGTAAAATAGATAGCTAGTGGGAAGCAGCCGCATAGCACAGGGAGATCAGCTCTTGTGACCACCTAGAGGGGTGGGATAGGGAGGGTGGGAGGGAGGGAGACGCAAGAGGGAAGAGATATGGGAACATATGTATATGTATAACTGATTCACTTTGTTATAAAGCAGAAACTAACACACCATTGTAAAGCAATTATACTCCAATAAAGATGTTTAAAAAAAAAAAAACACCTCAGAGGGAAGGTAACCCGCACCTTTGAACGCCTGCGGCTTGCACTGTGTGCACATAACCAGATATGTGGCATGTTCCACATTCTTCAGGCTGCATTTTTTGAATTGCAATTTAATTTTTGTCTTGTTTTTAATTTTTGTGTTTGTTCCATTTCTTTTGTGTAAGCTTGCGGGCAGGTACCCTGTCTCACAGGGACAATGGCTTGGTGTTCTCAGTGATAGAAGAGACACAAAGGAGACACAGGCATACTCTGGGGTGAGGTCATGGCTGTGATGTTAGTCGGCTGTTTTTGATCAGTCACAGGAGCAAACCCTCCCCAGGTTTCCTTCCCTCAACCCCCAGTTCCTTGCTCACTTCTGAAAATAGGTTCACCTTTCCAACACTCCAAGCTGAAACTCACCTGTCTTGAAACATTTCTCTTTTTAACCCAACCCAATGCGGTCACTGCTCTTCGCTCTTTGTTCTCTCCTCTCTTGGTGATTTTCTTGTTTATCTAACTGAAGAATCAAAACCCTTTGCCTTAAAACAGGAGTTCACGGACCCTGGGGGGGATGAGGATAGAATTGAGAGGTCCATGCCATGGACAAAAATTATATCTTTATTTTCATTAATCCCTAAATAACATTCAGCATTTCCCTTGATCATGAATGCAAGCAACAAGAAGTCCCTGTGATTTTGTCACTAATAGAAATCACAGGTATTTTCACATCACCTTCAGTTTCTATACATCTCGAAGTATCACTTAAGCTACCACACTCTGAAATTAAGATCGTATTCGACTCACCACTAAATCTTACTTAATGTATTAACACATGTTACTATATCACAAATTTCTTTAGTACTTTGATAGCTGTATTTTAGTAAAATTGTTTTCACTGTTGTCCGAATGCAATTTTTTAAAAATTATTATGAGGTGGATCCACAGGCTTCACCAAATGCCTAAGGGGCCTTAACCCACAGGAAGGGTTAAGAAGCCACACCTGGGGAGTGGTTCCCTGCTGTCTTTTCTCTGAAGGAACTGCCCTGCCAACAGCATTGCCCTGGAATTGGAGTGTGAAGCCCTCCTGGAGGGGCGGGGTGGTGTGGGAGGCACCCAGCCCTGTCCTGGGCCTGGAGAGATCCAGACATTCCAAGATTATTTTTTGAGCTCCTGCTTTAGCACAGACCCTGCCCTAACACTAGAGAAACAGCCGTGAGCAATGCAAGAGCTCCAGGAGCCCTGGGGCTCTTATCAGAAATGGGGGAGCTAATGGAGACAGACAACCCAACAGACCATCCTGAGACGGGGGCCGAAGTGCAGAGGAGGGAAGCCTGACCAGGAAGAGATGACTGAGCAAAGCCAGGAGATCCGAAGGAAATGGACGAAGTGGTACCTGGACTTGAAGGGCTTTTCAACTGAGTCCTAGAAACATGATTTGTACAAACAAAATGGCTAGAAAGTAGTTCTGTGGCCACATATGTGCAAAAGCGAGATGCTATGTATCTTGCTCTTTGTGGGCAAGATGGGAGGGGAGGCCAGCCTAATGCCCTTGCAGCTAGAGTGACCAACTGTCCCCATTTGCCCAGGATCGAGGAGTTTTCCATGATGTGGTGCTTTCAATGCTAAAACCCAGAAAGTTCCAGGCAAACCGGGATGAGTTGGTCACTCTTTTTCCAGCCCATATAGTTCCTGAGACGTCTATAGCCAGAAGCCATGGTCATCAATGTCAGCCAGACAGAGCTCAGAGTGCAGCAAGCCCAATGCTCCCATTTTACAGACAAGAGAAATGAGGCCCAGAGAGGGGTGGGAACTAGCCCCAGATAATTAGTGGCAAAGCCTGGTCTAGAATTCTGGCCCCCACTCCCTCTCCAATGCTCAGTACCACCCCAAGCCAGACAGTGAAATCAGTGGTCCCTTCCCTTCAGCCCTGGGTACCCTCACCTCCCCCATCAATAATCCAAAGGGGCTACAGATGGGTCCTCACCAGGTCGGGGGAGGAGTTGTTTCAATAGACAAAGGAATATCCCCAGGAAGGATGCCAGCCTCCACTTGCTGATCAAGGATGGGTTTTCTTAGCAGGATACCTACCCGTGGCCCTCAGATTCACAGCGGTGTGTCTGACCTGCCTGGCCTCTTCTTCCAGAGATGGGCTTTTGAACAAAAGTTGGCTTAGGTTTGTATCTCTGCTCCAGCTGTGTAAGCTGGCAAGTTACTTTACCTCTCTGAGGCCCATCAGTGAAATGGGTATGCCTTCACCCACAAGGCCCTTATACCCTCTGCCTCTGCCACCTGCCCTGTCAAAGTGCCAG